GCCATTCTATGACAGTACATCCAGTGTGGATGTGTTTCCACATCCAGTACAATGCACACAAAATGCAATATTGTAGCCAGAAACTCAGATGTCTGTATTAGAACTCAGGATCTTAATGCACAGAAAGCACATGGACAAGTAACCTCAGCAGCAAGACCTTTTTGATTAAATTCTGTATCTGCCAGAATCACTTACATCCACAGAGAACCACTGATGTTTTGTTATCTCCTCTGGTGCTTACAGGAATTCACATCAAAAAGCCCCAAATAAATGGAAAAAACTTTGAAACAGAGTTTGTCTTTCATTAAACACCAGTTGTCCTTGCAGTTCAGAGTGAGGGACTGAGTATAAAAGGTAAAGAGCATTACACACACAGACACAGGATCAGGTGTCAGAACAACTCTTCTGAACACTCTCTCTGACTTACATTTGGGTTAACAAATGCTCAGCAATTCTAATTTCTTTCAGAAAATTGTAGGAGAAAAAGGATTATTATTTACTAATATGCTGTACATATTTCATTCCTTGTTTTGGGTATTAATAATGCAATATTTTCATGTTCCATGCAAAACATGGAAATTGGAAGTATGTCCAGCTTCTCCCTGTGTTTTTATAAGGTTTTGTTTAAATGTTTGCAACTCGGATGTGTTTCCACGCCATAGCAGAATTCTGTGGTTTGCCTTCTATCAGCATAAGCTGGAGAAAGCTGTACCACTCTGAGACTATTGTCCCACAGATAAATACTGTCAGGATTCCTCCTTGTGTGTCAACAGTTATTGCATTGATTGAAATAGATTGTCTGATCTTTCTCTCTTCAGATTGGAGAGAGACCCAGAAGGCAGATAAATATGTGCTTAACTGCCAATTATGAATCTGTTTGGCCTTGGCAGGACTAAAAAATGTAATAAGACTTTCCTGTCTCTCTGTTTGAAATTCAATAAGAAAAGAAGAAAGATTTTTCTATTATGTTTTGGGGTTTTTTTTCTCTTATGGGTGGATGAGCACCCTTTGCTTAGCTCTTTCTTTTCACAAAATAATGGAGGCTCAAAGGGCATTTCTGTAATTTATTATACATGCATCAGTCCACTTGACTAGAGATTGGTGAAAGAACCTGACCTTTATCATGATAAAGGGAATATAAGCAAGGAACAATTTTGATGTCACAGGCACTCTGTCTTGTAGGTGTACATGAGCATGTGTTTGTTTTAGAATGATAACTGTTGTCACTTCCTGGCAAGTTTTCCTTAGAGAATAATCCTTGTTCACACTGATACTTGGACCTCCTACTGTGTATTTAAAACAAAGGCTTGAGAGATTTGCTCAGCTAAAGACAGCTCTGCTTAAACGTGCCCGGGTGAGGGCAACAAAGCTGCCAAAGGGACGGGGTGTCCTGTGACAAGCAGATAAGGACTGGGACGGGAGAGGAGGCTCAGGGAGGATCCCGAGGAGGGACACCTGGAGAGGGAGGCGCTGACCCCTCCTCCCTGGTGTGCAGTGGCAGGATCAGTGGGAATGGCTCAGCACTGCACCAGGGAGGCTCAGGCAGGTCATCGGGAGGGGTTTCTTTACCAGCAGGGTGGTCAGACACTGGAACAAGCTCCTTAGAGGGGCAGCCAATGCCCCAGGACTGTCAGTGCTTAAGGGCATGTGGACAATGCTTTAACCTGGTCAGGCAGTGCAGTGATCACTGCACTTCCAACTGGAACAGTCTATTCTGTTCTATTATTTTATGCCAGAAGTTGAGAAAGAGACAATGAGTTGAACAATTAAATTCTGTTTTTTCAGAACCATTTTTCTTCTGTAAGTTCAATGCTTCAGGGTATTAAAATCAGAGGCTTTTCTGGGGAGTGAAGGTGCAAACAGAAGCTGTGGTTTGGAATGAGTGAGCTATTCTGCCAGCAGCAGGTTGCTGACTTTATTTTCATTTTATACCAGTTTGCTTGGGGACCCACATTGCTCAGCCTCTGATGTCACATTGTGTGTGAAACAATAACATAAACAATGTAGAAGGAGGGGGAAAGCACTGCTTTGCATTTTAAATCTGAACCTGTAAAATCCCAGCTCAGTGCAGGAGCACATTTAATGGGAAGTCTCTGCACTCAGCTCTCTCAGCTGTGTCTGGGGCAGCCCAGCTCTGGTGCCTCCAAAGCCAAACCAGCCTGTTCCCAGCTGGACCAGGTACTCCTCATAATCACCTTGTGCCTTTAGACACATCACTCATGTAGACTCCTAGACCAGTTGAGGACAAGAAGCTCAAGAGCAGGCTTTAACCTGTATTATTTTATTTTTCATATGGGACTCACCTGATAAAAGCACTTGAGCACAATATATTAACATCTAAAGCCATCCCACACAATGCTGCTCTGCAGGTACCTTAGTCTTTTCCTGCCTATAGACCACATATCCTCAGCCTAGTCCCTGGTGGAGGATCATTTTCGTTGTGTGGGGGTTTGGAGAAAACCCCAGGTTCCAGCAATATGGTTTACAGGAACTGCTGTTTTCAGGATTCAGCCCTTTGCAGTTCAACCTTCAACCACGCAAGCTGATTATGCAGGGAAATAGCCAAGATTTGCATGAGACACTGGAAAACATGTTATAAAATTTTAATATATCCTCCTCCAAATAGCTTTCCTTCATACCTATTTTTAGGGGGAATTCAACTAAGCATTATCAGAGCCAATATCAACAGCACAGAACGATCTATCTGCACACAGCCATAAGAACCAGCACCTGTTAACAACCTGAACCATTCCATCATTCTTGTGTGCTGTTGGTATGATTGTTTCCAAGAACAGAGTGGAGAGGGATGTGCTAAAGCTCTGGAGTTTGGGTAATTATTGTACGTCAGCAGCAGCTCCGTGTGAGCCAGGACAGCCGCCCACTCCCACACTTGGAGCTGTGTAAGACTAAACGGGCACAAATGTGTTGATATATTGTAGCCAGTGATTGTATATGTGTCTGCTTCACAGGAAATCGCTATTTTTACAGTGGAATGTTATAATCATTGAAAGAATTTTTTAAAAAATCAAAAAAAGACCCGAAAGAAACCTTGTAGAATTAAAAATACACAGCTTGGAAAAGACTTAAGGTAAAACAACTGGTTGTTTGGGAAGGTCAGCCACCCTCTCAAGAAAAAGACTGGATATGGGGTGTAATTTTTTTGCTTGAAAGCACCGAAGCTAGAAGTGTTATTAAAATGTAATAATTCAGAGAAAATACAAAGAACTCTAATTTATGTTTTGTTAAATTAAGAATTCACTTTTATTCCCCAAAACACTTGAAGCTAAAGGAGTCTGTGCTTCAAGAGACCTGAAGCCCTGTGGAAAAACTCATGGCTTAAACCTAATGAGTCTTGAATGAATAGTTCTGATTTCAAAGCAAAGTACAACTAGAACAGCCTCTTGAATATCAACTAACTACAAGTATCATAATCGTCATGTAAGAAAAATATTGAGTCTTAATTCTATGTAAAGTTATATCAGATTCAGTTGTGAGTTCATTTTTTCCTGTGGTAGAGGAAAAATAAGCAGAAATAAATGTCTGTGGGCAATTAAATTATAATTGCTGCTGGCATTAATGACATCTATTATTCATGTGTTTTTTCCCGACTCCTAAATAGCAGAGAATCATGAGTATTTTTTTTGTTCTTTAAGAAGAGTAAAATGAGGTCTAAAAATTCAAATATTGTAAATATAATGTTTTTCTTTCATCCCAAGTCTTTAGAAACAGGCTACTTCACAAGTCTCAAAAATGCAGTTGTTTATCTCTTGGTTCTTAGTGTGAAATCCACTGAAGCCTTGAAGGTGGGGTGGAACACATCTAATCCTGAACACATTGAAGCCTGTGGCATCAGGCCTGTGTCCCAACAGTGGGCTGCTGTCAGAAGGGTGGGTTTGCAAAGTGGATTTCCTGATGGAGACAGGAGCCCAGCTTTCACAGAATCTGTGATTTGGAGCCTCAGCTAAAGCTGGTCAGCAGTGCTTTGAGTGGAGAGTGCTGATTTGCACAGATGAAAGTAGCACCCATGGCAGTGAGGTTTTACCCAGAGGTTAATGAACAAGGGCCGTGGTTTGGAGGCTCTCTCTGCCTCTGGCACAGCTCAGCCGAGCACCTCAGGGCTGCTCTCAGCTGCCTCAGCCTCTGGCACACATCTGAGGAGCTGCTGGGGGATGGCTGCAGCTCCTGGCTGCTGTGCAGGGTGCCCATGTGGCACTGGGCCTTGGCTTTCCAGCCCGCAGCTCCTCAGGACTTGGCTGCCCAGCTCCACAGCTGTGGCCCTGAGCTGCAGGACAGCCAGGGCTGGACTGGCCTTTGCAGGGACTGCTCAAATACTTAGTTTTCATCCAAACCAGAAACAAACCAAGTTCTGAAATTTCAAAGCCCTTTCAAGCACAATCTGCTCCCCTTACTTTTTGCTCTGGGTCGTACCTCTAGTAGTGTTTTCTTGTCATAGTAAACACAAAATAGAAGCATATTCAGTTGTTAATGAGCAATAATATGTATTCAGGGTTTCTCTGATATCTCCAAAACAAACCAAAGTGCAGAATATATTCTCCTGGGAAATGCATGAGCAGGAAAAAAAATCATATCAACAAAGTTGCAAAATCCCTTGAAAATCTAGTTACACTAGAAAGCATCCTTCAGCAACCCACGTTTTAATAGAAAATAACTCAGTATTCTGCTGACCTTTACAAGTTTAGCCTTTATATAGGAATGAACTGTTTGAAAAATGTCTCTAATTCAGTTGTCACAAACAGGCACCAGAATGTGCCTGATCTGTTTCATGAGCAGAGGCTTCATTTTGATTTCACAAGCACCGAGTTTGGTCCTATGCTGTTTCCCATAGTTCTCAGCTGCCTGATGACATCTATTTCCTCACAAACAAAAGGCTGCTTGAAAAAACTACATATGTGGCTGAGATAATGAGGATGATAATGGAAAGTAATCTTGGCAATTATTGCAGCATGCACACCGAAAAGCAGCCCCTGTCTCATTTCCAGGAATCCCACAGTGCCAAGCTGGTGGGTGAAGGAGGAAGGATCCAGAATGCGGCTCACATGCACATTCCAGAGATCCAGGAGGGACAGGGATCTATGTGCTGCTGCACAGCCAAGGTATGAGGCATAATGAGCAAACATTTATGACCCAGGGAGCTCAGCAACAACAGCAACCCAGACTCCAGCTGTGGCTGGTCATTATGCAATGCCACTTGCTCACCCATTCGGACTCTTTTCGAGTCAAATTGAGCTCCTGCTTCATAGCAGCTAGCAGGACAAAATATATTAAATTGTGACAGAGGAAGGAAACATGAGGAGTGACAGACTGTCTGATAGTGTAAGCCCTCAGACCAGCCAGGCCTCCTCCAAGCAGAGAATGACAAGGATAAATATGAAAGGAGCTAAATATTTCGAATCAAATTTTACTGAAAACGTGTGAAAGGACATGTAAGGACCCTGTTGTTATTAGAAACAATGTCATTAATTGTCATTAGTTATTAATGACAATAACCGGCAGAAAAAAATGTCATTAAGAGTATTCTAAACTAGGAATTGACTTTCTGAACAGAACTGAATTTCTAGAACTAACTTTCTAGTTCTATTTATTTACCAGGTCTTTTCTAAAGAATGTTTATGTAGGTGAGAAAGTATAAAAACCCTGTTTCTGTATTTCCTTAAAGGCAAAGGTATAATTGGACCATTAACCTTCATTACCTAGTGCTCCTTTTGTGGTGGCCACACTGCAGTGGTTGTTTACAGCTGGACTTGCTCATCCTGTAGGCATTGCTCTGAAATGTGCTGTTCTCAAACCTGCTCCTCTGAAACCTGCAATTCTGAAACTGCTGCTGCACTCAGAGATGGGGCACTGACTCCCAAATGCTGCACTTGTGGGAAGATCACCCAAAGCTCCTTTCTCCCCTCCTGTTCCATAGCCTAAAAATGCACCAAAGGTTGTGCACTGGGGTGAGATTCTCTCTTGTGAATGGAGCAAACGGGTGGCGTCTGTGGCAAGTGGGATTTATTTAAACATTGTTTAAAAGTTCCCAGTAGATTTTGCGTGGCAGGAGCCCTGTTCAGACACGGCCCTGCAGCTGGCAGGGTGGATGGAGCATGTGAGCCTGGTCCTCAGGCTCAGGCAGACGGAGGTTTGTGCTGCGTTTCGGCACAGCTCTGCACGCCGAGCCAGGGTTCGGGGAGCAGAGAAGGGATCACCAGGCTCCCCGAGCTGGGCTCCGGAGCCAGCCGGGTCCCCGTGTCCCGCACGAGGCCGGCGGAGGCAGCAGCGCCGTCGGGGGCTGGCACAGAGCCCTGGCAGGGTGATGGGTGATTCATTCATCCTGCCGGGAGAGCTGCGCTGTGCCGGGCTGAGCGGGAGCGGGGCCAGCGGGGCTCCGGCTCCAACTGGCGGGCACCAAACAGGGGCGTGAGTGACCGCCATGGGGGCGCGGGCACAGTGACTCGTACTCTGCCTGTTGCTGGGAGGTGGAGCTGCCTTCCGCCCGAATTCCTCCTCCAGCTCTCCCTGACAGGGATGAGGAGCGAGGGGCAGAGCCCTGCGGCACCGCTGGCACAGCTGGCACAGCTGGCACAGCTGGCAGGGGACCCAGCGGGGCAGCAGAGCCCGCCCAGCCCGGGGGCTCCCGGCTCCTTCTCCCGGCCCAGCTCCAGTGCCTGCCGGGCCAGGGAGGCAACCGCGGCTTTTCCAGCCCTTCCAGGGCACTGTAAACAGCAAACGGCTCCTAAGGTTGCCAGAGATCACTTCTGCCCTCACAAATGGCTGATAGGAGACAGGGGAGAATTGCATTTGTTCTTCCCGCATGCTGTATATTTGAAGAAGAACTGTGTAAAGGCTGCTGAAAAATACCTTTTTATTTATTTTCTTTTTTTTTTTCCCCAATTTAGTTTCTTTCTCCGCTTAGCTGCAAGTTTTATACTAGAGTTGAAAACACAGCTCTTCACAAAATTACCTTTATTTTAAAAAAATAAAAATTAAGTGTTTAGGGGCATAAATCAAAGCCTCTCTAATTAATACCTCACAGAAATGTTTTTATTTAATAGTTTCTTAATGCTACTGTACTAGTATTATAGTGAAATATGTTAAGTTGCCTGGACTTTGACTTGACTGATGACAAAAAGGAAACATATTCTGTCACCTACAGTAATCATCCCACCTAAAATACAATTATTTTTCCTACCTAAAATACAATTATTTTTCCATATCTACATAATATGCAGGTAGACTGCATGGTCCCTAATTGTACTGATGTTTATAACCAGTTATTTAACAAATTTATCATAACCAAGCTTTCATCCCAGGGATTTATCTTTCTGCCCAGGCCCTCCAAAAACTTAGTGGCAAATTTAGGTATTACTACACCAAAGAAATTGTGGTGTTTTCATCAAGTTGGATTATATTTGTCAGATTTCTAGGAAGCTGTAGATTTAAATAAGTAACTCTTTCAAACAAAATGAGGGAGCAGCTCTGTCTCTTTTTTGCATGTCCCTTTTTGATACAAGTTGAAATAGTATCACCTGCTGTCTGAGGCCTCTCCTCAGCTCAGAGGAAGGAGTTTGATGGATTTGTTGGTAACTGTGCACAGAAAGCAAGGAGATGAATTACCCTTGGAAAAAGTTGTTGGAAAAACAACTCCAGCTGCCAGCTCCGAGCTGTAGAGGAGTCGCCAGGGCAGCAGAGAATAATCTTCCAAATGTTGTAGTAAAGGGAGCAGGAGAAAAAGATCAGTAGCTGATTAATCATGTTGCTGGTGTTTTCAGGGACATAGGCTAATAGAAAACCAAATGTTAGGAAAATATGTTTCAAGGAAGGCCAACAAAAAAATGAGAGGAATGCAACCACTAACAGTGTTGTGTAGAGATTGAGAAGGATGTAGGAAGGAAAGAAAAGCAAATGAGAGCACAACTCATGATGGAGCAAATGAAAAACGCACAAATAATATTTCTTAAAGGTCATAACAACAAAAGAAGAATAAAATGAACAAGAAAATGAAAAAATTAGCTTCCTGAAATTGTTTTCTTGTGAACAGCTATGATAGGTGGTAGGAGTTGCTTATAAATGACAAAATGGCAGAGTCACCTGTGTCCTCAAATCATCATGTGTAAATTGAATAAATACTGAAAATCTGCTCTGACAATGGACTTTGGACATAAGTTTCTATCTTTGACATTGGAATTTCCTAAGCCCTTACTTGTCAGCTAACTTCTGGAGGCATTTCCTTCAGGCTGGTCTCCCCTCTTGCAGAAATATGAACTTTTGAAGGCAGCAAAACATCACCAAATGCAGGCAGAAGTGACAGCCAGAGAGAGGGAAGAGACCTTTCCACACACTCTATAGGAAAATTGCCCCACTGCCACTGTCCAGCATCCCTGTGCAATTGAGACCCTCCTGTGCAACAGCTGAAAAACATTCCTGCTGTCTCTGCCAGAGCAGTCCCTCTCCCCTTGGAAAGATTTAATGAACGTCATGGTCTTAGTGAAGAACAGGAGGAATTTCTTTGTTGTCAGGATCATTTATTAATAATCATAGCTATTCCATTTTTATAAATGTTCAGTAATTCTTACAACACACCTTGTAAATTAACCTTAATAAATATGTGGTAGGAATCAGCTTACCCTAGTAATTGGTATTTAATAGCATACAATATCTATAATTTACAAAGCTAACTTCTCAGCATAGTTTAAGTCCTAATTAGCCCTCAGGAAGGGCTTAACCCTCCAGACAGTTCTTTGGTATGAGGCATAATGGTTGGTTTTAAAAAGTGTGCTGTGAGAAAACATTCCTGACTTTGGTTGTGCAGATTTCCATCAGGGTAAATTACATGTATGAGAACAGCTAGCAAATGGCAAATAAAAAGGGATAAACGTATTTTCACTTCAATCTACTGCATTTATAATCTCCAAATTCACAAGTATAACTTTGTTGGGCTTTTTTTTTCCTTTTATGCAATTTAAAAAACATACCATTACTTAATTTTACTGTGTGGGCAGACTTGGACTAACGTGAATTAGAGGAGACAACTTTCTCAGTAATTCTGTTCTAAGATTGTTACAGTGCTCTAGACCAGTTTTGTGGGGGGAACTCTCATAAGACTGACTGATGATGATGATGGTACCAGTGTCTAAAAGGAAACTGTGATTTCAGAGACAGATTCCTTCAGGTGTCTTGGCCTCATCCTCAAGATAATTTCAAATCTGCTGATACTTGATCTCCACTTCCCAAAATCTCTGTTGATGGCTCTGGAATCTCTCTGGGTTATCCAGGGTAACCTCCAAGGCCAGCTGGAGTCTCCAGGGTGCCCAGAGTGTTGAATCTTTGGGGTGGTGCAGGAACTGAAGAAGTCATTCAAGCCATGTATAGTTACCCATAATACTCATACTTAGAAGTTTCTTTCTAATCACTCGTAATTCAACTTATTTAACTCATTTCAACAGCTATTGCAAAGCCTTTGTTCCTACTGACATTTTAGTTCTTACTAAAGAAACAGACATCATGTAATTACATCAGTGCTATTAATTATTATCGCTTCTCCTGTGATTGCTGCCATTTTTGGGCAAGCTGTTTTAGCAACAGTGGCACATCAGAAGAGAAGACACTGAATGAAGAGTATAGTGCACATGTCAAATTTAGCTTTCAGGTGTTACTGTCTTTTTCTTATACTACCAAGCCAAAATGTTTCTATTTTTTATGTATAAAATTATATTTATTATGCAAACCCACTTAAGCAATAAGCAAAGTAATAACTACTGTCAGATTACTTAATAATATTACTTTATTTTTGTTTGCTTTTATTTCCAGCTCCTTTAGTTATCTTTTATGAGGTCATACATCTTCCACATAAGTTCTCCTGTATTTCCATTGTGGTGATCTTGCTTGTAATCTTCCTTGCTTTCTCTGTCCCACACTTTCCCCTCCCTTTCCTCTTTTCTTTGATTATTTTTCTGGGCACACTTTGCCAGCTGTGCACAACCATTCAATTTCTGAACTGTCTGTTCCATTTAAAAATACATAAATGGCAGCATATTCACTTTTGCCTTTTCTCA